ATGATAAACCTTGCCTGGTTTAAAAAGTAAAGGGATGAAAATAAAATTATATAGACAAATATAGCCTTTTGGAAAAGAAAAAAGGGGTTAGTTCTTGTTTATATACGGTAATTTTGTAAATATAATGAATTGAAAAGGGTATATCAGTACAATCAATTAGAAATTTTTCTTCCCTTCCAATTTCCCCCAAAATAGAGGGGAACTAATTTTCCATCTGGGAGGGAATTTGAGGGACAAATTTCACTTTCCTTCCCAACAAAAAACTAGTATGAATTCCGTGCGGTGCACGGGAAAGAGATATTCATCAATATTTATAAATTAAAAATGCACATTAAATATTATTTATAAATTAAAAAATATGGAATCAATATGTAATATAATTTACCTATATTAGTTTATTTAAAATGTTATATGAAACTTAAATTGTGCAAAATTACATAAAACATGTGTATTTATAATTAGTACACAAATCGTGCGGTGCACATAACTAAAAATAAATAATATTATATTCATTTTAAAATAAGTGTCACTTTAAAAGTTTTGTTTAAAAATTTGATTTGAATACAATGTGATTCCATAAAATAATTATTTGGGTAAAATTTTATCATATATTTAAAAATCTACGTGAATAATAAATATAGTATTAAAATTTATATTGTTTCATTAACTAAAAGAAATTTATTTTTGTATAAACTATACAAATAAAAAAGATAAGTAGTTGAGTAATTTATTAACCAATAAATAATTATTATTCTATTTACGTCAATATTAACCCGTAACTTATGTGTAATTATTTATTTGCATTTTAAATTTGGACCCAAATTTAGACTGCACAATAAATGTCTTTATATATTTTACATATGTTTATATTTAACTAATCTCAAAATTTTCTAATTTTGTTGTCGGTTACCTTGTCGTTCAAATTTATCAACTAATTCTCTAGAATTAAATTACAAATTTTAAATTTTATTAACAAATACTTGTCCAGATATCTTTTTAATTGTCGAGAGGAATACATATGAATTTTCTAAATTATCAATAATATCTTATGGATAGTTATCATAGAAATATGCTAAAATCTGATAATCATATCACCTTGATTGTATAACAAATAAACCTAAAATTCGACTTTCATACCCATACAAATAAAACTCATACCACTTACTTTATTTTTAGAATTTTTAAATACACCTTCATTCATACCAAATGAATTTCATACCATATAAACTCGGACATTTCAAACCAAAAATAAAATTGCCCTTTTATTATTCATCATAATACTCAACTATTATTTTATTATAAAATTTATCGGCATATAATATGTATTAAGATAGTTTTATATATTAACCACCTAATTTTGTTATATACATATATTGATATTTCTAACAAACTATATTTTATACTCTGATAGCTTACGAAAACATAATTTTATTTACGTATGTAGTATAAGAACAAAAGCGCGATGAATTACGTTATAAACATTTTAAAAGACTGAAACATATACAATTTCAATATGAATGACCGTTAAGGCAAGATAACATTATTTATGGGTAAACCCGTGCATCAGGCATGGCTGAAAAATTCAAATATTGATTGTTAAAAGTTAAGCAAATTATTATTTTAAAAAATAAATATTGTGATAGGATATCAATCAATTTAATGGATGATATATCATGTTTATCTATAAATTTCGTATTATCAATATTCATAATTTTATAATTTTCGTTAAATTTGAATATATTTATATTTTAATTATGAAATAAATTAAATAGTAATCCTATTTTTCTAGCTTTTTTTTTCTTAAAATTAACGTGTTCAAAAATATGAATTAATATTCTATACGGTAATAATTTTTTTTAAAAAATACAATATTAACTTTTATGTGATCTTTATTTTTCAATAATATTAGTAACGTCTCCAGCGAAAAATTAAGATTAAATGACAGTAGTTGGTTTCATAAAATTTTAGATTATATAAATAGTTTTTGTTTTGAAAAAAAAGTATGTTTTAATTTCAATAAAATAAATTACCGTTGAGCAAAATTTTTGTATCCTATCGAAAGTTATTAATTGATAAATATATTAGTACATATACTTATTGGTGTTTCATATTTTCATTGCTTTTAGGAAAAAAAAAAAGAAGAAAAAAAAAGAAAGTTGTTTTTCATAAATTCGTTGAATGGTGGCACATTTTTTTATTACATTGTTTTTTTATTATATTTTTTACATTTGTTTACGAACATAATAAAGATATGTTTTATAAGATATTGAAGAATTTGCTTTAGTTACGCGATATTTAACTTAATTAAGCTTGCGACTTTTAGTGCCTATTTGTACAGTAATTAATATGTACCAGATATGCCTATTGAAAAATATAAAATTTCATAAACCAACATGCTCATAGTTACTTTCCTTTGTTATTGCCACAAAGTTGGACCAAAGTTTATAACAAAATATCAAACAAATATTTTTTTTTTTAACAAACATCAAATTCCCATAAACAAAAACTCTGCAAATATGCGAGCTGCAATTGTTGACCGAGTTGAAATTTATTTTGAATTTATTTATTCAAATTTCAAAACAATCCGCTATTTTTCAAAAAATTTTAAAAAATTTACTATAAAAGGTAAAAACGAATTATTTAGGCGAATTCTACTTCTATTTCAAGCAAATATCAAACATTTTATATATATATAGATTGAACCGAACTGTAGAAAACTAAAAAAATTCCCTCGCTTTCCTTCCCCTCTCCTCTGTTTCCTCCGAACCAAACACTACAAAGAACAAAAACACAAACAAATCCCAAGAGGACTACAAAGAATAAAACACAAACACAAACACAATTAGCGACAAAAAATAACAACTCTCGTAGGAAAGGGATACTATATATTTTCACAGCAAGAGACTGCCCACAAAAAACCTGGACAAACACACAAAGCATAATAAAAAGAAACAACACTCCGTAAAAGAGAATACCTATTTTGACAACAGGAAACTGTGACACAAAAATGGCCAAAGACGAGGTATAAGAAAAAGAATTTACACTCATAAGACACAGTAATATACAAAATAACACATTCTCTTCAGACAATTTGCTGCCACATCCGCCCAAACAAGCTTTCTTTGCAATGAAGACCATACAATTGAACAACACCAACAGAGACCTCAAGCACTATATAAGCCACAAGCTACTCATACATCCCTACCACGAAAATCAATGTGCAGGTTGAAAGTTGTCACATCCAAACTTTCCAACTTAAACTCAGACGGGTATTTAAATCTGACAAAAGGCAATCAAACCACATCTGACCTGAAAAAGGCACCAGTATGGACAGACGAGCGACAATTCCAAATAAATAAAACCCAACCGGCCAACAAAATAATATACTAGAACCAGATCCTTCCAGAGGCCAAAATAGTGGGACACAGAACCGAAGAATAACAGAGACGGAGAAGAGACCATATTTTACTGCTAATGTTTTTTAGACAGTAGAGGGGGGAGGAGGATTTAGAGAGACAGAATCGGAGCCAATTCCGTCCAATCTAGACTCATTTATGCAAAAACATTATCCATAAAGAAAATACTTATCCTAGTTGCTCAAGAAAAATTATGAGTAGCTCAAGGACAAAATACATATTTGCATCTATAGTTGGCGTGAAAATCATTGTACATGTATAATTCTGTCAAACCATAACAAGACCAGCTGCACATACCGAAAGAAACCAGAAGTCAGAATATACAACACCTGATGTCTTGCTTAGTCGAAAATATGAGTCTATATCCAGATACAAATAAGGCACTGCAGACAATGTGTGAATACAATCTTTGACTTTGGAAAGTACTGAAACTATCTGTTTGAGTCAATGCAGCACAAACCATTACTCGTCTCTACTCCATCTGAAACCAAGAAAATACAGTTATAAGAAAACATAGCCCTTTCAACGCATAATTATCACAAAAAACCTCCCATGAGGATTAGTGCAACTACAAAAGAAAGAAAAATGCTAGCCTGACACAAAAACTATGACATATGAGTAACATGTGGGAGATGGAAAAAAAATAGTTGAATTTAAAGATGATGTAATGTGTAAATTAATGAGATCATGCAATGTTGGAGTGTGTCAACGTTTATGTTTGTACAGCATCATCCACCAAAAGAAACCCAGTTATCTTTCTAAGTTTTGAAAAATAACCAAACACTATTGCACTAGACTTGATGTAGCAATGGGTTTCCGTTTGATTTAACCCCTTTAGTTTCTTAAAAATGCACAAAAACAGTGTTTCTGCTGTAGGTGGAGATCACACGGTACCTTGAAAAAGTTATCAGATAAGCTGCACAACAGCAGCTACTCGTAGGGCACCATTTTGGAGAAGGTCATCAAGTTCATCAAATAACAAGGCCGTTCGCCAGCCCCACCCCTTTGGAGCTTTTGGTAAAAGTGTTCCCGTCTGCTTATAGCTTCCGAACACCATAACTTCTCTCTTTGACGGACATATCAACTGAATATTCATGTATGTTGCATGAACGATTCAAGAATGCATTAAGGATTTTTGAATTATGGTGCAATATTTTTCGGAAACAAGTATACACGCTTAGTGAGCTCACCTGGTATCTGGCGGTAACCTTTTCCCTAGAGTCCACGTACATATGGACCTGAGAGGACAAGTGAAGAAATTTCAGTGTGAACTTTTACATTTCATTCACATTTAGTTACGATAACTGAAATTAATTCGAGTTGATGAGCTGCAACATAAATGTAATTCCAATTGCCTTTCTAAGTGAGTTGCTGATCTCTGCCTTCCGTCGGTGAAGAAACAGACCTGTATGATTGTAGTGAAATTAATGAGTTGAAATTAAGTAAATACAGAACAAAGTTTGTGGGCTAAATGGATTTCAGAAAGTTACCGAGTGTGCGACGTCCTTGAGGATCTTCATCGCTAAAAGCCTGAACACTAACCTATGATATCCAACAGAAACAAAATAGATTGATGTTTGTTGTTGATTAACAAATAGACTGACATTTCAAACATCACAGAATTTGAAAAAGAACTTTTCTTGTTCAACACCTACCTTCCACAAGGACCCTGCATAAAATGCTTCAGGTGAGTGTTTAACTTGACCATCACATAGTGTATTCACTTCCTGGAACTCAACCCTGATAAACCAATAGAAGCAGATCAAAACTATCTTAAGTACAAAATTCAAGAAATGTATCACACCACATTAGGATGCTAATCAGTGGAATTTGTCCATCTGAATTGTTCAGTGACTTATAAGTTTCCGAAAAACAAAAGAACAGTCAATTTATAAATTTCCAAAAACGAAAAAGAGTAAGTTAGCCATAGAAGAAACAAGTTTTTCTACATTGAAGTACATATATTTTACCCCCCAAACAGAAACGGAAAAAATGTACGTGGCCTTCATTTTCTCATGAAATTTATGCATTACAGCCAATCAGACGACCTTAGCAGATAAATGCAGTTAAACTATTCACCACTATCACCCCTAACATAAAAGGCGAAAAAACCAACAATGTAAAGAATTTTTCAAAGAAAAGATCACGATAGGTGTGCCAGAATGCTTACGCGAAGCGAAAAGGTGGGAAGTGACTCAAAGGTGTTTTCATATCCAACGATATCTTTCTGTTTTCATTCTCCCACTCGATTCCCATAGCATCCCCCGGCGAGTCCATTATCTGAACAGGTATGCCACCACCGGAACTCGAACCGGGAGCCAAAGATCCCGCCTGCCTACCCTGCAGGCACGTCTCGTAGTCTCTTCTAATCTGCAACTCATGCAAGTTAGCGGCATCATTCGATCCCTGACTGAGCCCAACCAGAGCCGTCAAGCCATCCCCAGCAAGCTCCCCACTGTTGTCGCCTCTGTTCTCTGGATCATCATTAGCAGGAGGCTGTTGATTGCCTCGATTGCCTATACCAAATGGGACACGAGAAAAGACGTAACGGGTCGGAGGCCAAGCGGACGCAGGTACGAATGTAGTTCCACGCCCGATGCCAGCTAGGCCATCAATGGGGCCCCTGTCGTGTACGCGAACAGGCCTAAAGTGGCCACTTCTTTCCCCCTGAGCAGAGTTGTTTATATAGACATGCCCCATGTCATTATGGGATAAATTACTATGCTCATCTTGAATGTAGTATCCGGTGGCTGTAATATTGGCCGAGTACCCAAATGACTGTCTGCATGCACATGCAATGCCAACACGGCAGCAATTTTTACACGTCGCTGCACCAATTTCCTGAACCCTCTGGCTTAAAAGCATCTGTAACATCCAGACGACAGCGGAAAATCAGATATGTTAATGAGATCTGTCGCAGCAAATAACTGTATCAGAGAACTAGTAAAGCGTAAGGGCGAGATTAAATAAAATTTCATCCAGAAAAGTGTCAGGGAAGAGGATAGGGACAAAATATTTTTGAAAGAAGAAAAAAATTGAGAGTGTAAATTGATAAGAGATGATAATGTAATGATCAAAGTTGTTTTGATGTAAAAAAATGGTAAAATAATGATTGGCACTTAAGAGTTATATGCATAGATTAGTGGAAGTTGGGGAAAGTGTAAGTGATTTGTGATCTGATGATTTGTTTCTAAAGAAAATGAGTTGATCTTCTAGGAACATTGGAACAATGGAATCTGAGTGAGTTAAACCATCTCAAAAAGGATCCCAAGATGTAAAGATTCCCAAAATGGAAGGGTTTCCAAGCGCACCCTAACAACTTCCACATACAGGAAGTTGAAATAGTTGCAACATGTCCAATGTAGGTAATAAGTTTATGCTTGCAATGGTTGTAACAGAAGTAGTCCAAGTAACTTCAACGATCCTATATATCAAATTCAGCCCGGTTATATAAAGTAAGTTGGACAATTCAGATCTTCGTATTATTAGCAAGAAGTCGGAAATATACCTGCAACCATAAGCCATCATCCACAGCTTTACAAGGGAAGCCCATTTCTTCCAGATGCTTTCTCACGTTTAAGAGTGCTTCAAAAGACATGTTGCAGTACAAAAGTGAGCCCCCTTCAAAAATGTTGACGAAAGAATCATAATCTTCTTGGCTCATCCCACATTGCTGGTTTAGGGAAGTTTTTACCTCTCTTCTTCCCACGGTCCTGCCACCCCATGTCAGGGGTGATATATTACATCTTTCCCATTCATTCGACATTAGCACATTACATGAAGAGTTTATAGAGACACAGTGCATCTGATCTCCTGAAGGCCAACTGCTATTTAATTGGTAGCATGGATCTTCGTCTGACGGTCCCTCCACAGCCAAACCACTGCCTGCTGACCCACTCATTCCAGTACAGTTTTGAATATTCAGATAAGAACACAGGACATTACTATCATCTGTATAGAATGTGTTACTGGCCAAAGGTCCTCTGGTGTTACAATCATACCCTGACTCCGGATTAGATTCACCATATGTTGTTTGGGCTTGATCAAATGTGGAGCCTTCAGAACAGGAGTCCACAATGGAGTCTGCAAGTTCTAACAAAATGTTACGAGCAGTATCGCGGCTTTCAAAGTTGTCTATGGTTTTTGAGTGCCCTCGTTCAGTTTCCAGCGAGCTATTTCTGCTTTCATCAGTAGAATGCTTCTTGCTTCCCCTGGAAGAACCAGAATATGCACTGGCTACAACCTCGCAACTTGTACCTCTCCGCTCATGGTTTTCTGTCTTGCCAAGTGTACCTTTCGCAAGAAGAGTGCACAGAGCCAGTTCAAACCTACCTCAAGAGGGGACAAGAGAAAGGAAAGAAAGCAAGACGAATTAGGTGATTCCAGTCTTACAAATAAGTTATACACCTAGAAATATAAAAACATAAAACAGTCCACCCTCACCGTTTCTCTTCACTTGGCACCCATAGTTCATCTGACGTTAGTAAAGCAAGTAGTGTTTGCGAGGAAAGTTTTGGGAGCACCTGATACGGACAGGAATTTAGATGCAGCATCGATTCCCAAAGAATAGACAAAATATTATGTCCTAATCATTAGTCAGAGGATAAGGGGGACTATTTTGAAGAGTGTGTAGAACTATAATGTTTAAAGGATAATGCATGTACCTCCTTTAGTTCCTTGGAACCACTTTGACACAGGTAGCCCCAACAAGCATTTCGAACACGTTCCCCATGAGTCCCATAATCTTGGCTCTCAGCAAAGACCTACATTAAGGTTAATTTATTTCCACAGTGCGAGGATAATATCAAAGGAAGTATGAGTTATCATCACCAAAAAAATATTAGACCTGAAAAGTTAGGAAGTTTGAAGACCACAATTCAGCTATGATGAAATCTGTACAAATTGCACATAAATCCTGCAAGTAAAATGTCAAATATGAGAAGACTATCAAAGAGACGAAATTCATTGGCCTGTGAGTTCAGACAAGCTTTAGAAATGGTCTCCGAGGAACTGAAAAGAAAAGAGGTCCACCACTTGTAAGTGTTTTTTATAAAGAATCGATACTACATCTAAGATGTGAGAACGAAAATAAAAAAACAAAACTGCACCTTTTGACCACAGAATATATCACATATGTTTTTACAATTATATCAGAATTTACTCTATAACCCCTAAGAACTTGAGTGCCAAAAAATTAACTATCGGGTTTTATTTGCAGTGTCTTGAATTAATTGAGCAGTAGATCAATTCAAGAAAAGAAGGGGTGGTGTTATCAAATGGTAATGTCAACTGGTTATTCCTGAAGCAAATAAAAAAGCACTGGTGAAAAGTAACATGGGTCAAACAAGCATATTATCTTCTTTCATTTCAAGTACATGAGCTAGTTTCATGGAGTAGTATATTTTCAAGCTGCAATGGCCTGGCGAGAATAAATAAAACTAAAAATAAAAATCCGCATATTTGAAAATGAAGGTATGAAAGTGACAACAGGCCAGATCTATTGTGAAAAATGCAAGTGTTGGACACAGAACGAGTTCAATCCAATCAAAGGGCCAAAAGTCCATAGGTAATATTCCATAACAAAATGTGCCAAACTCAGTAGATAAGAAAAGAGGCGCAAACAGTTTGTTTCTTCTCTATCACTAAAATAAAAAGAGATCATTTAAAACTGTCAAAGGAAGGACTTGTCCAACTTTTGCTTACTCCATTAGTTACCTGAAGGTCAAGAAAAGATGCAGCAGCTAGAACTCTAAATGCATTATCGTCATTAAGCTTAGGATAATGTCCATAGAGATAGGCCAAAGCCATTTCCATTGCTTCACTATTTACATTTTTATCATCCACGTGCAAGGTCAAAACTGGAGAATTAGCTTCCTTCCAAGGACCCTGGAGCATGTTCCTGCAGATCACAACAAATGCAAAGGCAACCACCAGATTAAGGCCATTTACCAAGTGACTATATTGGGGGAGTACAAGTCCAACTTATGAAATCATCTGTTCTGTTCTCTACTTCTCTGTTCTTAAACATCACAACATTACCATAAACGACTAATTAAGTTCTCAGCATCCAGGCCACTTCCTATCACAACAGAACCGGTAAGTTGGAATCAAAAGCTAAAGACATTATTCTCCTTAGGCATTTTTGATACTTTCAATCCCAGCAAAACAAAAAGAATTGTTGCAATATAGCAATTCAGAATACAAATACAGAGTTTTCGTTGTTTTCCTACAAATTAAATTTACATACAAGGAAAAGGGGAATTGGACATACCGGAAGTATGAACTCCGGGAGAGAAGTAGGCGGTGTAGATGATAGGTCGACCCCATTGCGTTCAAAACGACATCGGAGAACATGCCGTTATTAAACCCTTCCAATTGAACGTGATCGCAGAGCGACGCGAGGTTGCGATCCGGGGCAGCCCGGCGGACGTCTCCTCCGCCGCGCCTCTCCACGGTGGCACTGCTCTCTCCGCCGCCCGGATGAGAGGCTTCCTTGGTCATCTCCACCGGCCCGCCGCCTTCCCCACGGTGGCGCCGGTGGTTATACCGCCCGATAGAGTATTGCTGCGGCTGCGATGCCAGTAATTGAGGCTCCATGGAAGCGATAAATTAGGGAATGTGTGTGAATAGATGGAACCGGCAAATGGAGATTGCAAAATGGGGGTGCATGCGAGCTCCGGAGAGTGAGAAATTGCAGGCGTGCCAGTGGACAGTGGGAACTATTGGATAGTGTGGAAATTTGCCAAATGACCCCTACAATAATGTTATCTTGAAAAAAGTCCCTTGTTTCTTATTTTATTATATTCACCCTATAGTTGATATTGGCTGATTAGTTATACTAGTGCATTGTATGCATTGAACGGACCAAGAAAGGGAAGTTCGTTTTATACTGATCATCGTAAGCGAACTAGGCCTCAGTTAATTATTTCGTACTCTTAACTCGTAAGATATAAACAGACATGTGCATGCAGTAGATATTACTTTGATTCACTTGAGTGAGATTCAGTTTACTAGGTCAATATACTTACTGTTTGGGTAATATAATTGTATGTACGATGTGTTGTTAGAATATTTACGGTCACCGTGTGCAATAGTTTGATGATGTCCCCGAGATGAGCTAATGAAGGTTTTTTTTTTTTTAAACGACAGAAATTCTCATTAATAGAAAACAAGTACTTACAATGTCCATACATATGATTCTCACATAAACAAATAGAACAGAAAAGCCGACAGATGGGAGAACCACTTACAAGTGGCCTAGAACCGAGTACACACCCGAGAAAGAAAATAAAACATAGGGGGAAGGCAGTTAAACTACAAATGAAGTCCTTACCCTTGGAAGATCAAAAAAACAAAGATACAAACTAATGCTAACCAAAGAAGGCAATAACAGTTAAGATAGCTATGGCCTGTTCCCACTTGAATCTTTGTAAGATATCCAGTCTTGAACAGCTGCATGAAATATTGAGTGGGCAGGCCTTCTTACACCTTCAAAAATCCAAAGATTTCTACATTTCCACAGCCACCAGAAGATGTAAGTTGATAATTGTAACCTGCCTCTGATGTATAATCCTTATTCAGTTGACAGACTTGCCACCACCAAGTCTTGAATTTCTCATTCATCTGTGGTCTATCCCATGTAACAGGTGCAAGATTCCACACCTGCTTAGCTTGATTACAATGAAAGAGAATGTGCTCAATTGATTCTTTCGCTTCTCCATAAGTGACACAGATTATATCTAATTAGATTCCTCTGTTTCTCAAGTTAAGGTTAGCATGTAATGCATCAGAAAAGCACTTCTAAATAAAATGTCTTACCTTGCCCATTACCTTAAGTTTCCAGGTTCTGGCTTTGAGTTCACAATCTCTGGAGTTGCTCCCTTGAGGCTGATCTAACTGTAAAAAAATTTTTGTGATGAGGTGAGCATAGGAAGATTTAACTGAGAATGTACCTTTCTGACTTAGATTCCATGTCCATCTTTCAGGATGGTTGGGATTGATAGTAGCAATGCAGAGGATTGAGTCACATATGTCTGGTGGAAAAGTGTTTTTCACTTTGTGCTCATCCCAGTGACTACCATCTTGGGTCATCAAGTCTCTCACCCAGTTAATGCCTCTGTATATGCCTTCAAGGAGCTGCACATATTTGCCAATGTGATTTGGTATCCAGTGTTGGTCCCATACCCTTGTGTTGTTACCATCTCTGATTTCAACTTGCATCCACTTATCACATTCCTTCAGAACTCTTAACTAGCTATTCCAGAGCCATGATGCACTCTGTTGTCTCTGTGCATCAAAAATGGAGGAGTGTCGAAAGTATTTTGCTTTGAGTACTCTACATACCAGGGAATTGGGTTGTGTCACTAGCCTCCATACTTGCTTGGCTATTAGAACCACATTGAAAAGTTGGATGTCCTCAAATCATAGGCCTTCATGTTTCTTGTTGAGAGTTAGTTTGTCCCATGAGACACAGTGAATTCCTATTTGTATCTATGTTCCTTTGCTCCACCACAATTGACTGTAGATGCTGGCAATGTTGGAACCCACGAGGATCTCGATATGCACAAATCACGGACAAACATTCAACATAAACCTATGCGCAACGGATCTAAAGGTTTGATGAAGAAAACTTACTGCTTAAAATTTATGTAGATCTAGCTGGCCTGGACAGATGACCGCAAATCAAATCTTTTCAGAATCGAACAAACTTGACCAATCCAGAAAGCTGACGTCATGGCGAAGTCAACGGCGTTGACCGGTCGGAAAACGGAGGAGTCACGCGCTCTCACGCGCGTCTGCAAGCTCCAGCGACTGGTTCCTCCTGGTGGCGCGTGGCGGCGCGTGCGGCGGCATACGACGGCGATCTCGACGGCGATCTCTTCGTCTCGTCGTCCTGGTCGTCG